GGGGACAAGCGCTTACCAGGGACTTAAAGCACGCTTTTGAACCAATCAGAATTCACGTAAGAATGAATCAATTTTACAATGATAACTAATACAKGGATTCCTATAGGTTGGCAACAAAACATCTCGAGAGGTAACCCATTGTCAATGTACTCATCTCACTTGGTTTGGAGGTGACTTGTTTATTCCACCTAACAAACTTGACGTCTTAAAGGCAATAAATGYCCTCAAGGACTTGGATAAATCGTGGCCCCTTTTAATAACTATTGGCGTGGTRGGAGGGTTGTATATTTTYGCGATGYTCTGGGCTCGTCGTCAAGATAGGAAGGACTTAACTAAAGTTGGGTTGATAGTCGTTCCAGATAGTGACCCTTCCGATCGATTCCGGTATGAAGTCACTGTATATACAGGAAGAATGGCACGAGGGACAACTTCCAACKTTTCGATGATTCTTTACGGAGATTTAAACGAAAGTCACCCTATCGCTCTCAAAGACAAAACCAAGCCTATCTTTGGGTCCGGAAGTGTGGACTCGTTTCTCGTTACTGTGCCYGTTGCTCTAGGGTCTTTGAATTATATAAGAATTTGGCACGACAATTCCGGTATTTGGCCAGCTTGGTATTTAAATCAGGTTATCATAAGGGATATTGACACTGATGAACGGTTTGTTTTCCTGTGTTATCGTTGGTTTGCATGTGACGAAGACGATGGTCAAGTCGTGCGCCTTGTGCCGGTCGCTGGAAAGGAGGATCTTAGAGAATTCACCTACCTTTTCAAAAACAGAGCAAAAAAAGATTTCACCGACGCTCATCTTTGGTTCTCCATCGCGCTTCGCCCGCCAAGAAGCATGTTRACGCGRGTGCAGCGAATCTCTTGTTGTTTCTCGCTTCTCCTTTGCACGATGTTGACCAATGCCATGTGGTATGGTTTAGCAAAAGGGAATCCGCAGAACGATACGATTATATTCAAGTCAGGGTTTATTGTCATAACTTGGCGCGAGATTCTTATTGGCATCCAAGCGAGCTTGGTCGTGTTCCCTATTAATCTCCTAATTGTCCAAATATTTCGAAATACWCAGAGGAAACCCAAGAAGAAGAGAAAACCAGAAGAGGCTATCAAATTAGAACCGGCAAAAACCAAGAATGATCAGATTCTGACTCTTAACGATATCCATGCCGTCACTCGTTCAGAATCCAGTCAGTCAAACCTCATCAGCACACGACAAGATAAAGCTTTGAAGAAATCTCTAWCTCTTGTCAAGAAAGTCCAAACGAAAAGCATTGTCAGTCGGGAAGATTCGTTTGATGAGGATCTTCTTTTGTTGCTGAGGGAGACACAAATGATTGATGAGCCTCAAATAGGTAAGATTCTCTGCAGTTACTCTGTAAGCTGAAATTCCTCTAGTTTCCTCGATGTCGTTAACTTGCCAAAAAGGTACGCTAAATAGACTAAAGAGAGTTTTTAAGATAAACCATATTTCATTAAAATTTTTCGGAGATTTCGATTTTCAATCGCTTGTTATGAAAAAGTGAAAATAAATGTGACTAGACGATCAGCGATCGTTTACATGGGCTTCCTGTGGTATATCACAATCAGTGAATGATATTGAACCCTAATGAAATTAATATTACTAAGACAACAGCGAAAGAAGATTTCCTTTAATGAAAAATAATGAAACAAGCAATGTACTCAGTAGAATTTCATAATATTGTCAAAGAAGTAATTTATGTTTGACGAGACGTTACTTTAAGACTCGCATCCTTGGCTGTATAAACACAGATCGATAGTCTTTCATGTCCTTCGCTTAAAATACTTCCAATCCTCTGTTTTTCCTCAGTATAAATCTATTGACATGTCTTAGATAAGTCCTTGGTGATTGTAGAGCCTGTACTTGTATAAATTAGCATTTGATAAGCTAATGTTTGATATATAATTCACGATCGGTAGATTCACGATAAATTCGCCGTATCTCTCCAAATGCCCTTTTGAGAAACGCTCGAATTTTTTTAGTGTGGCTGCCGCGAATGGTGTGTGGATTTGTAAATGAATCTAGCGTATTTGTAGAAGCTACAATTAGATGACCTAGATTCGACATGCTTTCCGGCTATACGAAGGTCCGAAGAAGCACGAGGCGACCTTTCAATCGTTGCTTAGAAACATGAATGACAGTAAGACAATAGATGTCAAGAATGAAAAGGTCCCGGATATAATTTGAAGCATACCACAGACGAAAAACGTCGGTAATTTAAGACATGGTCTTCCTTTGGAAGCCCATGTAATTANTTTGGTTGGAATTTTCCACTATTTGACATCCGAGCTTTAAGAGATATATTTCCGTGTTCCCCATGCGTCTGACATTAAAGAAGAACGGGTCAGAAAGCAATGTCGGCCAAGCAGCTTTACGCCTTTGTTTTGCTTTGGAGTATAACTTTCCTCAATGTAAAAAGTTTCAAACTTACTGTGAAAAGATGCACAACTTCAAGAAAACCGAAAAGTTATAAAGAAACTAGAACACTTGAACAGATAGAAGATATTCAACACATGATCAATTTCAATCCTGCTGAAATTTGTGAAATGTGAGTAGAACGAAAAATAGAGTTTCTTAAGAGTTGGTGCGCATTGCAAGCAAAACTCATGACGGCGTGAGCCTCGCTTTATATGAAATTTGCATTATCCAAAATGAATGAAGATCAAAGAAAAGAACTCTGGATTATTGCTGTATATCATTACAATTTACTAAAGCCCCGTCTACACGAGAAATTTTTATGTGACAATCTTTAATTGCCCGTGTAGATGAGCAAAATTGGCCAATTTTTATGRGACAYCTGTAGTTGCTGGAAAGCTGGCATGCTAGTTTTTATGTGACAACTAAAAATTGTCACATATCGAAAATTGCCCGTGTGGACGAGCGTCACATAAAATTGCCACATATAGTTGTCACATAAAAATTGCTCGTGAAGACCGGGCTTAAATCTCCTCTAGCTTTTTTCCTACGATTAATCAGTGTTTATCAGACCGATTCGACCTCACCCAGCCCAAGAAAACATACATCCTATTCAGCTTGTTGTAGCTGACTCATTCGCTTTCAGAACTTGATTGACCCAAGAGTGCACAACCTGTATGGTGAGCTCTCTCTAGAGTTGAATCGATTTACTTTCTATACACGTAGGAAACTATCAAATGGAAGCATTATTTCCCTACCAAGTGGTCTACTTAGAAACTTCAGCAGTCTAACAACACTGTAAGTATACAATGGTAATATAACAAGCTACATGGGACAGAACATTGATGTTAGTTGTTGTATATTCCACAGGTCATTGGCCGGAAGTAATATACACAGACTTTCAGCAGATGCATTCCTGGGACTTCAATCTCTTGAGAACTTGTAAGCATTAATTAATAAATTATATGATAATTATAGAGGATATTACATGGGCGCGCGGAGATACGGATTTTATCTTTGACTGTTGGGTGAAAAGATCTCAACTGTGTCAGATTGTGTGCATTTTTGCCTAATACTTATCGACGATTTACGAATAATAAATAAATAAATTCACGGGGGAGGGAAGGGCATAGCGAAATTTATTTCGTTTGCGAGAGGGAGTTAATAGTTAATTTTTTTGATATTTTTTTGCTCATTTCTCGACTTCCCCCCCCCCCCCCCCCCCCACGTGCTTTTGTTTAAAATCAATGGCCAAATTCAATTTCAGAGACCTCACAGGGAACCCAATTCAAGAATGGAACACATCCGGGATATTATCTCACACGCCAAAACTAAAAACAATAGACACTTGGCAACCAATACCATGGAAACATTTGCGTTCATTGTTGATATTACCACAGCTTAAGGAAATACGAGGAATAACTTGGAATCTGAATTGTTTGAGCTGTTCGTTGATAAGATCCACTAATGAAACACTATTAAGTGTTTATATGAATGAAACGAGTCGATTTATAGAAGGCTACGCTTGTCGCTCCAAGATTACATCACCGAGTCTATCTATCAGACGTTTAGCGAGTTATGGTTTCTTAGCAACATGTGTCCTTAGCAACCAAACGTGTTATAAATCAGAGGTCAAGGTCGTTGTCAAGGCACCGTGTAGAAAAACCACACTATCAGTAATGTATGCTGCATTCTTGCTTGGACCGTTGGCAATTCTACTGAATGTTATTGTAATCGTAACCGTTTTGAACTCAAAGAGACTACGCCGACACAAGGACATGATATTAGTTACAAATATCGCTATTGGAGACCTCTGTAACGGCGTGTATTCAATTCTTATCGTGTCTATTCACGCTACTAAGACATTCCAAGAAATGCAGATCTTTGCGAAGCACTACTGTTCCTATGTAGGGTCGTTCTGGACACTTGGGCTTGGATTATCCGTGTGCTTTTCCCTGGTTCTTACCATTGAAAGGTTCAAATGCGTTGTCAGAATTAAAAACAGGCGAATGAGCTCAGAGGTACTGGTTGCAGCATCGTTGGTATGTTGGTTATGGTCTCTGACTGCAACCATTCTCCCATGGTTTGGTATTGGATATTACCATCTTAATACATACTGTATTCCTGTGTTCCCTGTTGCTAGCATTCCAGTCCAGTTCTATTACGGTATTACTMTRGCTGGAATGTCTGGTCTWATGTATCTTATAACTATTCCAATGTACATAAGGATGTACARCTTTGTACGAAAYTCRAGCAAAAACATGAGAATTCGRGCAGATATCGAGTTGGCAAAGAGAGTTTTTACCCTTGTAATWACAAGTGTMGTATTCTTTCTTGTTCCTGTGGTTACGTCACTGGTTTTTTCACGTGTRAAGCGCAATACSTCAGAKATTTCACGTGAAGTATCTGAAGTACTGAATTCTGCATTGCCGTTGATTTGTCTGTCTATRAATTCAGTACTCAACCCAGTTCTCTACACGTTCAGGAGTAGGATGTTTAGAAACGAGGCATCAACTTGGCCATGTAGAATACGGACGAGAACTGGACCGAGTACTGCTTTTAATCCAGCATCCAATGTTCAATCAGCTTATGTTATTCCTTCTACAACGCACGCTGCAATCTCRCAGTCTAAACTGTGAGTCTGATTTAGAAATGTGTCTAGATGACAGCTCTACTTAGTCATCAACAACCACAAGTAGAATGCAAATACCACCAAAATACATTATTGCTTCCTCGTGAGACCACACTAGCACCAGAGCGCCGATTTCGAAAAAGTGTCTTCATATGACTTAATTGCTTATCCAGAACATACGTTCCCTAGTTGAGCGCTTATAAGGCCCATTGAAAAAAGTATGTTTTCCAATTATTCTTATATTGTATGTAAATATGATATTATGTTATGCTTTGAATTGTATTTGTTTAATATATTCATTAAAGATATTGTTTTGCCAATCAATTATCCATGTACTACCACTAATTATCGAGCTAATTATCATGTACGAACACTAATTATCCATGTACGAGCACTAATTAATTGTTATATTGGAAATTAGAGCTTTCTCAGAGTAGAATTAAAGTCAATCATAATCTTGAAATYGAGACATGAGATCGTATAATCCGCACAATATGAAGATCAAGGTCCTGTCTACATTGATGCGTCATCGTGGCGTTTTTGATTCTGCGCGGACACTGGGAATAATGAACTTTACTGTGATAAAAAATACACAGATGACTGTTCTCAAATTACAAATATGATAAAGTTSAATATTTGTATTYCCGATTGCTCACATAAGACAATGGTTATACAAACATTGACGGTAAAAACTAGTAGTGCTGTAACGAAAAAGAATGTTTCACATAACGAACGCGCCAATCATGCGGTGTGTGCCCCAGCTTAATACGACAAACCGCTGASGTGCAAGCATTGTTTTGGTTGCAATTTTCCACTAGTTCATGACAGACCATCATGCCATTCACCAATCAAAACTTAACAATAATTACC